TTAATAAATATTTATTAGAAAAATATAAAGAATTTTTTAATATAAGTTATAATACTAGAAAATTTCAATGGACTAATCAAACTAAAGAAAAATTTCAACATTTTGATCAAATAGAACTTCTTATAATTCATATATATGATGATGCAATTGCTGAACAAAAAAATGAAAGATCATTAAAAAATATTCAAATTATTAATATAAAAGAACAATTATTAAAATTAATGACAGATTATATTAATGCACTTTCAATAATAACAAATATACCATTATTATATAATTATTTAAATTAAAATATTTTACTAGTTGTAGCTGATTGGCCAGAACAATTATATATTAAAAAAGCTATTACTCAATTACAAAAACAATTAGAATATCAAAAAAATAATCCAATTTATCAACTTACTATTCCAACAAATATAAAAAATTGTATTCCAATCTTAGGACCTTTACATGTTTCTTTAAATATACAAAAACATATTTTAATAATTCATTATGAATTTTTTAACAAATTATATAAATTTATATTTAATGTAAAAAAAAAAATTTAGCACAAAAACCACAATCTTATAAAATTAATCTTTTGTTGGAATTAGCAAGTGAAAGTTGGAAAAAAATTAGTAATATAATAATTTTAAAATTTTCTAAATTATGTAAAGATATAGAATATCAAATACTTATTGATCTTTTAGACAATTTAATTCTAGCAGCTTTAGATATATATGCACTTATTTTTAGATCTAAATCATTTGAAAAATATATTAAAACTATTTTTTGAATTTGAATATTTGCATTATGTTAGAATTGAAAAAATTATAATAAGGCATCTTTAGCTTTTTTATCTGATTATTTTTATTAGAAAGAAATTAAACATCCTTTTAGTACATTATTAAAATTATGTCTTGTACATTTTAATAATTATTTTGTTGAAAATTTCATAGTAAAATTTGAGCAAATACAACAGCAAAAAATTCAGCAGATACTATACAAAAACAAACATATATATTAAATCAAAATATTATTCTTTTATTAATTTTTTTAAAAATACAAAAAAATATTCTTATTCTTTATTAACATTAGATATTTTAATTAAAAAAACATCAATATTTTTATTAGAAACTTTTTGTTCAATTTATAAAAATATTGAAAAAACTAAATTTAACAAAAATAAAAATAAAATTATATTATCAAATCTTCAACAAATAGTAGATATTAGAAGTCTTCTTACTGAATATCATTTATTATTTTTATCTACATTAAATCAATATGATTTATGTAAACAAATATTTGTAGAAAATAATAAATCAAATGCAATAATTTTAATTTGTGGACATGGATATCATTTGGATTGTTATAAAAAAATGGATGATAAATGTAAATATTGTATAAATTTTTGATAATGTTAAATAATTTATAGAAACTTTAGAAAATAACAAAAAAGAATTTATAAATGATAATGATAATGAAAATAAAAATAAAACTAAAAATAAAACTAATGAAAATGATGAAAATAATGAATTATATTTTTTATCTGAACTAGATAGTATTAATATAAAATATCAAAATGCAATTTTTAATGTACAAAATTGATAAATTAATATTTATTTAAATATTTATATTTATATATTTTTTATTTATTTATATATTTAATATTTATTTTTTATATATACATATATATATATTTTTTTTTTTTGGTATTAAGGTGAGGCCTTGCTTATATCTTTATTAATAATTTAAAATAGTTACA